TTTAAAGTGAAATTTATTCCAGTCTTCAGTGTTAGGTTTCTTTTATGGATAGAACGTTGAAAAGAACAGCATTTATTTAAAATAGATTTTATTTTATTTTTATTTATTTAATTTTTTTTTGTAAAAATATAAAGGTCTTTTCTGTCACTTTTCATCAATTTAATGCATCCTTGCTGAATAAAATAGTTTTTTTTTTTAAATGAATCTAGCTGACCCCAAACTTTTGAACGTTTATGTATATTACTGAATATATTAGTGTCTGTATTTACCTACAAAAGCACAGGTTGTCAAGAAAAACCTTGAATGTTTTGAAAATACTTTCAAAAGCATTGATGTTGAAGGTTTAAAGGGGTCATATGATGCTTTTTTAAAGATCATTATTTTGTGTATTTGGTGTAACAGAATATGTTGACATGCTTTAATGTTCAAAAAATACATTATTTTTCAAATACTGTACATTATTGTAGGTCCTCTATGCCCCGCCTCTCTCAAACGCTTCGTTTTCTACAAAGTAGAATATCTCTTTGGTTTTGAGACTTTAGCCTTTGCAACTTCAGGGATCTTATCTATTCATGAACAGCTTGTAACACTCCAAAGAGAAAGGAAAACTTGAAATCGCATCATATGACCCCTTTAAGGACAGAAAGAACAATAGAACATTAGACATACAGAGAGAAAGAGAGAGAGACTACACACTTGATTTTATAACCTTATTAGTTATGGACATACTGTAGTTGGAACAGTCAAACCATTATTTGTGGGGTGTCCAGATACTTTTAGCCATTATAGGCTTATGCAAACTTCTGATGCATTTAGGTAAATGAGAAAGGAGTAATGGAAGACGCTTCAATGCCCACTTAGACACACATTATTCTCACCGCTCACAAGAATGCCTGAATTTAGTTGACTGTGAAACTCATCACTCGGACGTTATTGACTGAAACTGCCTCCCTAATATAATGTGGTTTGTGCAAAGCTAATGATTATTTCTTTGAGCGTACTGATGCGCATCTGAGAAATTTCATTTCCCCAGCTTAGATTAACAATGTTACACCCGCACCAAGAAAATAATTTACATTATTAGATAAATATGTTAATCTAATCTCACCCGCTCCCTGTGGTTCTTCCATAACTTCATTTTCCCAGGAGGAACTGCATTGCAGTCAGGATGAGTTGACCCGTGCACAGAGTACGAGTAGAGCTCTTTCTTATTTTGTCTTCATAAAGAAATAAACATGAATTTGTGCTCTGAGACCTCAGCTTTGCTCTTCAAATTAAGCTTGATGTTGACTGTGTGCATCTCTGCTTTGTTATTGTAGTTTATCCCACTGTCAGTCAGTTTCCTATTATTCTCTGAGTTTAGGGCCACAGGCCTTGCGTGGTTGTTTGAGAGTGTCTCTAATCGTCAGGGAGTGCATCAGTCTGAATGCACTCACCAGCTTTTGAGTCTGAGCTGACCTCTGGCTCATAGTGCCTGAGAGAACGTGTTGAGTTCATCACTTTCTTACAGTTAAATCCACTGAACGTTCATCTGTCAGAGCAGTGTGGGTGTTATTCTGATGCCTCAACGATCAGAGAGTTCTTGGGGTATTATTTGCTGGTGGCAATTTTTTCTTGTTTTATTATAATAATATATTCGTTTTTTAATATTATATTCTTAAACTGAGGATTTATGGTGTCAGTGTCTGAAACTCTTTGAAGACGCAGGTGATTATAAAGATTCTATCTCTAAATTCATCCACTCCACTGCTACAGCCATCAAGCACCACTTCTGTAATGAGTAATACTCTGAAATCATATTACAATTTAAAGTAACCATTTTATATTTTTATATTTTAAAATGTAATTTATTCCTGAAGTCTTCGGTGTCATGTGATCCTTCAGAAATCATTTTAATATGCTGATTACAAGCATAATCACTTAATAATAATTAATTAAAATTAAGTTATTATCTTGTTAATAATAACAAGAAACATTTGTTATTATTATCATTTTTTTTAAACATATAGAGCTCCTAACCAAATGTTGTGCAGTTTAATACTTTTGTGATTTTATTCTTTGATGAATAGTTAGAAATAGAAAATGTTGTAACTTCCGTCACTTTTGATCAATTTAATGCGTCTTTGCTAAATGAAAATATTAATTAAAAAATAACATACTAACTCCAAATGGTAGCGTGTATGTGTGTGTGACGCACATGTGTGTGTTTGTGTTTGAGTGATAATGCAATCATTTCATAGAATTTTTGTGTTATGAATTGATTCATTGTTTGAATTGAAACTCTTAGCAACTCGACACTTTTTTGAAGTTTAAATCAGAGATACTATTAAAACATCTGTCTTAATGTTTTCATAAGGAAGGATCATGAAACTAGCCTATTGACGGTCTTTAGGAAGTATAACGAGCAGATTAAAGTACATTAAAATAATGTTGATATTCCCAATGTTTTGTTTATTTTACATTGGTTGTGGTGCCTTTATCAAACCTCTGTGAGTGTTTTGCTGTGTGAACTAGAGGAAACCAGGGCTTTATGGGCAGTGAATGAAAAGCCCTGTGGGCACAGTAGTCTTCAGGGGTAGTGAGGAGAGAGAAGGAGATAAGACAGACTGAGTTTCCCATGAGGCTGCGCTATCTCTAGCAGTCAGCCAGACAGTGAGAATGGGTCATTCAGTTTATTCAGACACATGCTGACAAAGCCAGAAACACACCCGCTCGCACACGCACATAAAAAGGCTGTTCAAACAAACCCGCTCTGTCACATACATTTCCCTAGTCGTACACCAACAAAGCCTTGCGGTGTTGGGTTAAGCTCAGGCCTTAAAGGGATAGTTCACCCAAAAATGAAAATTTGATGTTTATCTGCTTACCCCCAGGGCATCCAAGATGTAGGTGACTTTGTTTCTTCAGTAGAACACATATGATGATTTTTAACTTTAACCGTTGCAGTCTATCGGTCGTATAATGCATGGCAATGGTAACAAAATCTATGAGAGTAAAAAAAACATGCACAGACAAATCCAAATTAAACCCTGCGGCTCGTGACTCATAGATTTTGTTACCATTGCCATGCATTATATGACTGATAGACTGCAACGGTTAGACTTAAAAATCATCATATGTGTTTTACTGAAGAAACAAAGTCACCTACATCTTGGATGCCCTGGGGGTAAGCAGATAAACATCAAATTTTCATTTTTGGGTGAACTATCCCGTTAAATAGGGCTTTTTTCTCTGACAGTCTTAGATCCAATATGGCTTCCACGGATGAGGACTGGGCCTCAATTTGCAGAGCCACAATGGCCGTGTGCTGATGAAGAGATATCTCAAATGAGATTCACAGCTGTCTTTTTCCCATTTCTTCAGAGAAGGCTGTACAATAGTGAAATCCAGCGAGAGACATGGCATTCATTCTTATGATTATAGATAGGGTTCAGACAACAATGGGTTGCAGACACAGATTCGAAGTGTCAGAGAAGGTGAGAAGGTCTTCATAAATCTTCTTTTATACACTGAAAATTACTCAAAAGACTGAAGAGTGGGAGAGAGAGAAATCAGTCTAGCTGCTATTGATTTGTAGTTGGGTTCGCAGACATGTAGAGATGTATAATTTATGGAGCTGTCTTGGGAATGCTGTGTGATCTGAGATGAAACTTAAAATTGTTTCAATGGGCTTCGATTTTGGCTAAAAATATGGCCAGTAGAGATGTTATATTGAATGTGTGTTTGTGTGATGGGGCTTGTCAAGAAAAAAGAAACTTCATGTAGAAAGCATCATTTTATAACGAAATGAAAAGAAGCAGCAGCAGCAAAAGTTTGACTTAATAGAACTAAATGTATATATTTTTATTTATATTTATTCTGTATGAAAAACGCATTGTTCCCTTCATTGTGCATGACAATTATAGCATTTGCTTGTCTTCTAATCATTTTGTTTTCTGAAGTTAAACATTAGTGCGTGGTACAACAATTAAAAAATAAAAAAAAACTAATCAAAATAATAAAGATTAATTAATTCTTGTGTTATTATAATCGATAGTATTATTGTAATTGTTTTAGTTGTCTTTTGGGGTTTTCAGTGTTAAAAATGTCAGAGTACTTCCAGGGTCAGAGTTCAGAGAATGCAATGTTCAATACAGTGTTTAAACGTGCTTATTAGTGATTTCCCAGCGTGTTGAAAAAGTTATTATTGTACGTTTAAATAGATTTTTTTTCATATGGTTTATTTAAATGTCTCATTGGTGTTTTTATTGTCTTATTGTCTTGTTTTATTGTTTAGTATTTGTGTAAAAGTTTTACATTGAAAAAATTACAAATGACAAAAATGTTATCATTTATTGAGTCGGATTTATTTTTTATTATTTAATTTTTTTGAAAGAAAGAAATTACTTTTTATTCAGCAAGGATGTTAAATTTATTAAAAGTGACAATAAAGACATTTAAAGTGTTACAAAAAATTCCTATTTTAAATAAATGCTCAATGGTTTCAAGCTATAGCATTTTATTATAGTTTTATATAGTTAGTTATTGTAGTTTTCTAATAACTTTCTATTCACCTAAAAAAAAATTTCACAGTTACTACAAAAATATTAATCAGCAAGTTTTCAACATTATTGATAATAAGAAATTTTTCTTGAGCACCAAATCTAGTGTGATTCTTAAATGGTCATGTGACTGGAGTAAAGACTGCGGAAAATTTAGCATGTCACATTTAAAATTATAATAATATTTCACAATATTATTGTTTTTACTGTATTTTTGATTAGTAGTGAGCATTAGACATCCAAAAACATTTAAAAATTCTACAATCTATTAATAGTATTGTATTTAGAGATGATATTGACACTATCTTAGAAAATTTGTTTTGTATGAAAATTTGTCCTTGTGTTGTATATTTGAAATGTTGGAACACTGTATTGACCGATCAGCATCCAGGAATATGCCTTTTGGCATTAGTTGATATTTTATTCTTGAACATCTCTCTGTGTTGCTTTCACTCATAGGTCGACAGACGTGTCCACCAGAGAAGTTTGACTGTGGTGGCTTGACTAGCAAATGCGTGTCGTTGTCATGGCGCTGCGATGGTGAACAGGACTGTGAAAATGGAGCAGATGAGGAGCAGTGTGCTGCAGGTAAGTCCAGGGAGGAAAGAGAAAGAAAGAGGAAATCACTAAAAATAGGTCCTGTCTGGATAATGTACAGTTAGTCTTCAGTGTGTGTGTGTGTGTGTGTGTGTGTGTGTGTGTGTGTGTGTGTGTGTGTGTGTGTGTGTGTGTGAACATTGTGTGTGTTTAATGTTCTTGCATTGATAAATTGTCACAGCAGGTGAGAATGAGTGTGTGTTATGTGCTTACACACACACTTTCTCTCTCTCCTTTCCTCTCTCTCACACACTAACACGCCTGCACACACACAATAATCCGGCTGCCAAATAAAGGTATTTCAATTTACTATTAGATTATAAACCAATATTGATTTAACTTTGCTCTTTGACATGCAACCTATAAAACCATTGATTCTCCAACTATCTCTATTATGGAAATATTATGTATTATACATTTGATCTTTTAAAGCCCTTCAGGATCTTTATCAATATAAAAAACTCCTAAATACTGCTGAAGGGCTCATGGATAAAAGCAAACTCAGCATTTTAAATCCACGACAGAGCAGCTACAAATTTGCTGGTTTGTTTAGTATGGCTAAATATTTTCTGTACTGTAGGCTAAGTCATCTGTTGATTATTATTAATATTACAGTGTCTATATTAGAGCCCGACCGATATATCGTTTTGCCGATATTATCGGCCGATATGAGCCTGTCGCCGATATATCGGTATCGGCGAATATGCCGCAGATATGCTGCCGATTTGAACATTTTTTTACAGAACATATAACGCAGATAAAATGCTTGAAATGGTGTAATTACTTAGTTTGTCCAGCAGAGCATGCTCCATTGTTTGCTACTGGCGACCTGGATGAAACGCTTTAAAGCTTAAGTCTATGGAAAACCATTAAAACTTTGAACGGCCATATCTCCATAACGGGGCAGCGAATCCGCACCAAATTCAGGGGATCCCTTCAGCTCAAGGAACCCTCTCGAACGCGAATCGTACATCTAGAGGCCCGCTTTCGAATGAGACCACCCCTGCGTCGATAGCCCCCGGGGTTCGGGAGTTACGGGTCGTTAAACTGGCAGTCCGGCGTAGGGGTGTGCGATATTGACAAAAAATTATATCTCCATATTTTATGGGATTTTATCGATAACGATAATTAGACGATATTTTGCTGAGTGTGTTATTGTGCTGGTACCTTAATACTCGATAATGTAAAATCGCACATCGTTAAAACAACAATTACGATATTATCGCAGACGATATATATCGCACACCCCTAGTCCGGCGCCAACCGATCAAGCATCTCTAAATTAGTTAGACATTAGAAGCTGTCTATAGGTTGGTGTTGTATTGTCAATTCAAATGTAAAAATTGTATGTGTGTTACTTTGTATTTTAAAACCAAAATATACTGATGAGATCATGCTGGCTGGACGTAAAGAGAATATTGTGTTTCTCTGTTGGCCATTATCCAGTAATGTCTACAAAATACATATATCACAATTGAATTGCCCTGTTGTGTTCATAATATGTAATTATCCTGCCTATTATCCAGCCTAGACACGCGTGCTTTTCATATCTCCAAACACAGCAGAGTGAAATCTCTTGTCCTTGTGTCACTATGGGTTTATGCTTTCTCTTATACTTAATCATGTAATAATGAAATACAGGATACATCTTTCAACTCTATCTTTTATGGTTTTCCATTTTCTGACTATTAGCACTATGATTAGCAGCGTGACAGAGTTTGTTTATCTCTGTGGATTTATAGCTGTGATTTGCGTGCCGTACAGTCCTGCACTGAACTGGGAAATAAGAGCATTAACATCGCTGTAATATTTCACTGTGCTGCTGATTATAATTGATTTCCTGCTTCATGTTTGGTCCTGAGACTTCTATTTTTTATTATAGTATAACCTGCAGGACTGCTCCTTTTGATTTATAATTGAAGATGTTAAGGCACGGTCTATGAATACATATTACTCGTAATGCTGTACGGCCCATAACTTCTGAAAAATCATGTTTTGCAAAAATCACATTTCAAATCCTTTTCAAATCAGTCACCTCCACGTGAACCAGAAGCTCATCACAGGGACAGAGAACAGGGACAATAGTAATGCTTTTTTTTATTATGAAACATGTTTAGCTTAAACCTTGGCTGTTTTGCATCAACCATCTTTAAAATTCTGTATTTGATTTATTGTAAATATACTACCACTTCTTATTTGTAGAGCAGGAGTTCCAGCCCTGGCTGAATGGCACTGGTTTACATATGCATCCATGCTGCTCATTCTTCCCTTTATCCCCTCCGTTACTGCCGTAGTGGTGGGTGCACACGTTATCTTATGGCACATGGACATTAATTTCAGCATCACACCTTCTTCCCTTGCCGTATATATAATGCATTATTTGCAATTATATACATACATTACCCTACTTGCTTACATACATCGCAACTGGGTTATGTTGAATTGTAATGCAGGATGTTTTTAAATGTATGCTTTACCCGTGTTATGCTGATAGTAGTGTTATGTTGTTTGATTTAGTCCCGGGTCAGAGGAGGCGGTGATGAACCTGAGCATTGCTGGAGACAGATTTTTATGTATAAGCCGCTCTCTTCCGGTCTCGCCAGTCACCTGGAAGGGGATCGGGTGAGGTCAAGTGACCATTATAAAAGGAGCTCTCGCTCCAATGTAATATGTCTCTCGGTAGGCAAGACAATTAACAAAGCCTCACTGTAAATAAACATAACCTTGCACCAGAGTGCATTTTTGAGTTGGGCCATCTCTGTTTTTCTACATCATGGTGTCTCACCACGTCCTAGAAGCCCGCTGAAAAGCGACTTCTTAACATTATTATAATTACAGTTGAAAACTGTTCTGCTTAATATTTTTTGCATTTTTGCATAAATTACACATTAGATTTGAGTTATCATAAATAAAATTATGGTTCTAAAACCAGAAAATACATTTTTACATTTACATTTTAATTACATTTGTATTGTTTTTTAATGTTGCTGTAATTTTTTGTAATGTCACAGTGATTCCTGTTTTCCTCTGATTTTTTTTTTTTTTTTAAAAGGAATTGTTAACAAAAGTTGAGGCTTTTTTTATTAGTAGTAATTTAATCAATAATTTACCCCAGAATAACAACGTGTAATGGTGATAGTCAACAAACATTATTATGTAAAAAGATGTGTAAATAAAGTCAGCAAGCAGCAAAACACTAACAGCATTTATTCATGTTGCAGTTGCATGCTGGGAAATTGAAAATCAGCAGCATTGCTCAGAGTTTGTTCAGAAGCCTCTGTTAAGCTAGTTGAAGAACATTTGGGGGAAATGCGTTGGTGGTGTTATGTAGATTCAAAGTTGTTCAGAATTCTTAGTACCTTGTGGGCTGGTAAAATGTAATAGCTTATTTACAGAGCATTATACATAATGCTAAAAAACATAATATTGATTTAGTGCTTTCATTTGCTGAATGGGGCAACAGTGCACTTTTAGTGGGTTTACCAGACTCCACACATACATCTAAAACCTGCTGCACCCACAAAGCCCTTTGTAGTGTACTAAAGGTTGGAAGATTTACATAAAACACAACTTGGGGAGTTCCAGACATGAATAATATACCTCCTAACATCACTTTCCCATTTTTGTAGAAGAAAGGCACTATTTTCCCTCAAACTCAGCTGTGTCCCTTTTGCTCTCTGCTCTCTCTTTCCCCTCTATTACCTTAATATCCAGATACACTGCGAAGAAAGCTTTTAAGTATAAATTGTTATCAGTAACCTGCATTAAAAATGCACAATCAAAGTGCCCTTTGCTCTTGTGGAAGCCCTGTGAAGAAAATTTTAAAGGTTTTAATTTCTGAAACTGCGTTTAGACCGAGAGAGGAACCCCTGCTAAGAAGGAGCTGTGGCGTTTAGCTCATTATGAGGGAGGAGTTCCATGACGTGAGGGGAAAAAGCATTGAAGCCTCAAACGTGTGAAGTTAAATTGCTGGTTGCATATATTATTAATAATAAATGTTTGTGTTGATAAGGTGCAGTGCCATATATAAACACAAACATGTACTTTTTTGACTTTAAACATTCCTTATATTATTCACAGTTTTGCTTGAAATTGAATTTGAATGTGTTTGGTCAAACTGACAGCATGATTATAGAAGCTGTGAAGGGACGTTCTCACCATGTATGGATTTATGTTGATTCAGTAATAATATGTACTGATTATTTGACAGAAATACCTTAAAACAAGCAATATATACTGTTCTATGCACAAATATCTAGCTATCATGAATTAATGTTCTGCTAAGCAGCTCAAACAAAACTTAAATAACAAACTTGTTCATCTTAAAGAGATTGTTCATTTAAAAATGGAAATGATTCAGGTACTCACATGTACCTTCTTTCATTTAAAAACCCTGGCCGCCTTCTGTGGAACAACAAAGAAGATATTTTGAAAAGTGTTGGTAACTAAACCGTTTTGGTGACCATTGACTTCTATTGTATGGACAAAAAAAACAAAACAAAAGCAAAAACTATAGATCTTTTATAAACCACAGAAGAAAGTTGTAGAGTTTTGGAACAACATCATGGAACAACATCATTCTGTCAGTAAATGAATTTTAGTTTTTGTGTGTATTAAAAAGACTTGTTCATACCAAGAATAATAACTATAACTATATTAGGGTCCACACCAACGGAGGATTCTGTTTATTATGAGCGCACACTGCAGTTATGTCATCTGCCACTTTAAATGCTCAAGCTTGAGTCTCAGTTCTGATTGGCTGTTAGTGTTTTTGTTGTTCATCAGCTGGAAGAAACATGTTCTGAAAGTGACTCCAACAATATTGTTTTTTTTTTCTGTCATTACCGTTATAGCTGTGGCATGGAATTTGGTTTTCTCATAGAATTGGAAAAATTGTGAAAACTTTTGGTGTGAACAGAATTATTAATGCTCTCGCTGAGTCACGTTTTAGGTCACCCCTAGAGCACAGGACTACTGGGAAAATCTGGTGT